AAGATTACATGATTTCTGATGAACTCGGGTATCAATAAGTAAAAGAGGCATCTACAACCATATTAGATTGTTTCCATAATTACCACTCATAAACATGTATATGTTTTCAAATAAAAATGTAGGCATCTGTACCATACAGACATCAAGATTATTAAAAAGATCACACAATCCTCAAGACTTTCAGTAAACTATAATGCTTCTTCTAACATGTATGATACATCTACCTATGAATAATGGTCCAGACACAGCAACATTCATAAATAAGGAACAGAGGACAGAAAAATATCTAAAATAATGATAACCTGTATATCCCCATCAGTCTACGTTTTGTTGATTTGACTATATAAAACAAACCTTAGAATTGCAAAAGTGAGGTCCATATTGGTCAGTTATATATAATTTTGAATAGATATGATGTATGTTTACAAAATTGTTTGATATAAAATTGAGAATGGAAATGGGGAATGTGTCAAAGAGACAACAACCCGACCAAAGAGCATAAAACAGCCCAAGCCCACCAATGGGTCTTCAACACAGAGAGAAAATCTTGCACCCAGAGGCGGGCTTCAGCTGGCCCATAAACAAAAATGTGTACTAGTTCAGTGAAAATGGACGTCACACTAAACTCAGAAACATATAAATGAACTAAAAAGGATTACCGTTTTGTTTTGTATCGCTTAATCCATAAAGTTTTCTCTATGCAATAAAGTTATCTATAAAGCTTTAATACTATCTTTCTCTAGGGGTGATTCTTTTCTATACAAGACACATCAACTGCATCATGTCCATACTTTTTTTTTTATTAACTTTTAACTGATCAACATTTTAAGAATTTAAAAAAAAAATAGCTGACATCATTAATGAAGATCTATACTTGAGAGAAGACAGAAAGATATGTATCTACAGAACAGCTGCATTGTACATCAAACCTTTATACCTGAGTAAAATCAACAACTTTTGTGCAACATCTCTACATATCTTTAGAACTCAGAGGCCACATTAGGGAAAAGTTTTTTTATATATATTTTCAACATTAAAATTCTTCGAAAGTGTAAAAAGTCTATAGTTTTTCCTGGAATGACATTTATCATACCACATTAGTAACCTTTGCTATTCGCAGTAATTATCTTATATACAAAGAGATGCTTAAGATATTTTCATGTTGTTGGGTTGCTATCTCATTGGGTATATCCAATACATGCCACAAATCTTATTTCTTTAAATGCTACAAATCGAGTACCAAAACTAGGTTTATAAAGAAACATACCGGTACATGTAATTCTATCATTGGCAATCATACCACATCTTCGTATTTTTTATATTATCAAAATTATCAAAACAATACTTCAATACTGTTTAAGGAACACATGTATATAGTACTGACATGATGTAACCTCCACCAATTCTGAATATATGTATGTTACAAGGAAGCTATTAAACCAAGAGTTCCAAGTGATGAAGTTGAAATCATCCCTTTGTAAATTTTAAGGACGCCATCACGAGTTGGAGCACCTGAGATCACCCCAGTTTTTGGTGGGGTTCGTGTTGCCCTGTCTTTAGTTTGCTATGTTGTGTTTTGTGTACTATTGTTTGTCTGTTGGTCTTCTTCTTTTTTAGCCATGGCATTCAGTTTATTTTCGACTTATGAGTTTGAATGTCCCTTTGGTATCTTTCGCCTCCCTTTTATTGCATGTGAAATACTGAGCAATTTCAAAGTCAACCAAATTTAACCATCATTTCAAAATCAACCAAATTTAACCATAATTTCAAAATCAACCAAATTTAACCATCATTTTAAAATTATATAGCCTTTTTAATAACTGAACAAGCAATCAAGTGATTATTGTGTTCAAATGTCACTCTATTGGCATAAGTGGGCTTTCAAAATAAATTTTTCATGTAGATATAGACAGAGCTGATATTTCAAACTTTGTAAGAATAAGGATAAGTAATAGTATCCTTATGATTGAAAAAGGCAGACATAAAAAGATTGATTTAGAAAATAGATTATGCCCCCTATGTAAATTTGAAGTTGAAGATGAATTACACTTTACCATAAAATGTACCAAACTCAATGATCTGAGGAATAAATTTTTTCAGAATATTTCTGATATTTTACCATCATTCAATAATCTTTCAGACATTGAAAAATTCTATTTCATATTTCGAAGTAATGATTATGATGTCAGTAAATGTTGCATTAAAGGTATTAATGAGATGTACACGTTCAGAAGTTCACTAACTTAAGTTATTTTATGTTTATATTATATAAATTGTAATACTAGTATCTAAAACTGTACCTCCTCAGTCAAATAGATAGAAGGGGAATATAAAAATACTCATTATATATTTATTTATACACCTCTTTCTTCTTTTTTTTTATGTTCTGTATTGTTATATAATTGATTGTAATGATTAATGATTGTTCTTTGTGTGTTGATGACAATCCATATTTTGGATTTTATATCAATAAAATCTTTGACTTTGACTTTGTAGACAATTTCCTTTTGGAGCAAATGAGGGGTAAAGTAAGTGTATAGCAAATTTAAAAACTGCAGCCTTTAAGTAATCTAGAGGTCCAACTATTTTCCAAGTTTATTTTATCAACACTTAAAAGTCCATTGGCTGGGAAAAATAATCCAAGGTTATTTGATAATGAACAATAAAAAGATCATTTGTTGGAAAAATTCTTTCACCTGGATAAGCATTAACCCTCATTCTTATTTTGTCTCTCTTCATTAGCCAACATCCACTTGTAAACATAAGAGAGGCCTGATAACTAATGAGTAAATAATTAATAAGTTATCGTTTATGTCAGCATGCCAGCTGAGAGAGAAAATGGACAGTGCAATGTGTACATTTTTATTCATATTTACAAAAATGACAAAGGGGAGTCTTCAAATTATAAATAATTTTCAAGTCCAGATATTAGTAATAAAAAAAGTGATATATTGTACTATGAGGTTTTTAACAGTTTACTGAACAAGGTCTGTCATTGGTAAATGATATAACTTAAGTTTACCATTACATCCACATGCAAAAGAAGTAAAAAGATTTAGCATCTAGTGAAGCCAGTTATATGTGTTGCCATTAGTTTATTTTGACTTCTCTTAAACTGCAATACAAGTTTGAATACCTTTACATGTCTAAGGTAAAATGAAACCAATTGACCTTCACCTATTTTTATATCAAGCACCCATTAGCATGATTAGTATTATTGAACTATTTTGATCTAATTCCTTTTTTTTTTATGTCTTTGACCCTGACTTCAAATGTATGATGGATATTATCAAACATAAGACTTGTTGTCCCGTACTATACCTCAAGTCTGGCCCATAGACAACAATACACGGTTTATTATGTACAGTTTATATATTCAAAGATAGTCTCCATACATAAAGATATCATTCTCCAATAGCTAGGTTATCAAAGAAATTTTCTTTTGAAGTTGTAATAATCCTAAAATCAAACCCATTTTTATTTTCTCCTTGACGTCCCGATTTCATTCATATGACAAAAGTATATCTATGTCCTGATGTTCAACCAAGCAGACTAATAGTTCAAACTAGAAACAACTCGTCTTTCAAACTGACGTGAACTTATTTTAAACTATATTACTTTTCATAAAATCTTCTTTTTTCCCTTCAATCTTTATCTGCTATTCATATCTACAAATTTTTCCTACTTTTGTTCAGTGTAAGTCTGATAAAGATGAATAAACACACCATTAAATGAGGACCAAGAGATATAGAAAAAAAAGAGAATTTAGCAAAAATTGAGATAGGAGAGAGCTGCAAGGCAGTAATTTCCAGGTGAAAACATGGAAAGCTCAATAAGGGAGTAATTTTGTATTATAAAACCAGAGAATTAAAGACATATGGCTAAACTATAGAAAGCAAGAAGGGAGTAAATCTACATAGATTGATTGATTGTTAGGGTTAAACACCACTTTTGGCACTCTTGCTATATTGTGGCGGCCATTTTTATTGATGGAGGAAGCCAGAATACCTGGAGATAACCACCAACCCTTTGTAATCCTAGTCAATAAATAAAATAGGAGTCAAACGCACCTGACATGAGCTGGATTTGAACTCACAACCTTAGTGTTGACAGGGAAGCGATAACTGTAGTAGAACTACTAAGACCACTTAAAGGAGTAAACCAGAATGCAATAAGGAAGTAAACCAGAAATCATTAAGGGAGTAAATCTATACAAGTAAACCAGAAAGCAATAAGGGAGTAAATCCATACAAGTAAACCAGAAAGCAATAAGGGAGTAAATCCATACAAGTTAACCAGAAAGCAATAAGGGAGTAAATCCATACAAGTAAACCAGAAAGCAATAAGGGAGTAAATCCATACAAGTAAACCAGAAAGCAATAAGGGAGTAAATCCATACAAGTAAACCAGAAAGCAATAAGGGAGTCAATCCATACAAGTAAACCAGAAAGCAATAAAGGTATAACTTTATAGTAGGTAACCATTAAACTGTAAGAGACTATACGTGTAGTTCCTCAGAAAACAAAAAATAAGGGAGTAAACAAAGCCAGACAAGACAGTAAGCAGTAAGGGGTGAATTTGTAGTAGTAAATCAGACTGTAGTAAGGGAATCATCTGAAAATTAAAAAATACACCAAATACATAAGAAGGTATGAAGAGACTTGAGGACAGACAGCAGTATATTGGAGTTGTAAATTAAGATGGTAACGTAAGAGATAAAAAAGGCATTTTGAAGAAGTTTTGAAAGACGAATGATGATAAAAGAGAGTTCAAAGTAAGAATGAAAGACAGAGGGGAGGGAGGAGGGAAAGAGCAAAAGTAGAAGAAAAGACAGTAATTTGTCTTCCAACAACATTAACATTACTTTATGTATATGATACACTTCAAAGATTATCATTTGATTATGTTTAAAGTACTTTTGGTGGAAATATGTGCATATATAGGTCATATTTGCACACCATATTTTTTGGCAAAAGTCAAATATTGAGAAAGTGACTTACTTTTAAGATAATGAAGTCCATTGTCTGGAAATAAATCCAAAACAATATCTAGATCCTTGTCTGTCAAAGAAATATCTATCTGGATGTCATTTTCGTCTTCCAAAAAGAGTACCATAATCCCATAAACATTAACAACTCTTTCTCAATCTCATGAATGTCAATTTTTACATAACGTTAATCAATTGCAAAATAATTCCTTTATAAATTAATATACACTGAATCAATGAATTTCACTTTTTACTGTACATTGCAGAAGATATCTATCCAAAGCAGTAAAATTTCCAAACTATATTTATCCAAAATTCTAAATAGATATACAAATATCTCAAATTTGTGAAGCAGTTTAATTCCTCATTACCAATCTCTGACTAAGCTACAGTTAGTTACTGTTTCTATAATTTGGATAATGCCAGCCTCCTCTTACAATCTCTCTTATCTCCAAGCCCCAAACTAAACAGATGTTTTCTGACTTAAAAACTATTCAATGTTGCACATCCTTGATGTGATAGTTGCATACCGTCTCTGACTCTTCACGCGATCCTATGGTATGAAAACTTTGGTAATTGACGTACCAGGTATTTGCACACTTCTCCCAACACCTGAGGAATTACTCCAGCAAGCGTAAAATATAAATATATATCTTTCTGATCATTATAAAAAGAGAAAGCACTTTCTCAAGTTTCCATCTGGCAAATAAAATCTGTAAAAAATCAGTAAGGTTTCACAGGTTTACTCTGTCTCTCTCAGTCCAATGAACTGCCCAACCAATTAATACCTGTGTTATCTCCCTCTCCTTAATCAAATCCAGGTGTTGTAGTATATAAGAAAAGATCAAATTGCTTACAATATTACAGTAAGTCAAAGTAAACCAAATACTTTTTTGTATAAAAATCCACTGAGCATGATTTGTCAGCTTTTCTCTCTCTCTCTCTTTTGGTCAGCTGACCAGAGCCCTTAACACAAAGGTCTCTATTTCACTGATTAACCTGGTAGCTCAATGTCATCCACTTGAAGTTTACTTACTTAAGATAAGTATGAAATTATTTGAAGTCCTGCATTTCCTTTTACGAGCCTGTTTAACCTAACTATGAAAAAGATTTAAAATCGGGAGTTGATTTGTCCATACCATTCACCTGTAAGATTTTATTAAAGCGACCAGTAGTATTTCACACACTATGGCAATAATTTATGTAACGATTACTCCTGTATTATACCACAGGTTTATCACAGGTAAAAATCTTCTCCACAACAATTATTATATACAACTATTACAATAATATTTTTCCACCGTTTATGACAATTTTCATTCCTGCGGGCTAAAACATGATTTTCTCTTTTAGGAACATGTTTATCACAATAACCAAGTTAGACTTTGCTTGATCACAAACACTAGCTGACCACCCTGTCTGTATATCTGGAGGGTGACCCTTGCCTTGTTTTACCTGTACACCCATGTTGATTTAATGTAAATATCACTTATTGATAATCTATTGCCAATACTTCCTAAATATACTTGATCAGTGATCTATACCTAATCCATAATATGGCCTCTTATTATCATTGTAAACAATCAGCTGATAATTAAGTCTTAATTATCAATCCCTGATGACTATCACAAAAAGGTGACAGAATATCTTTTCAAAGTATTTTTAGTGCCATAATGATTAAAGCAGACTATTGTTTTCTGAAATATGTCAAGTATTTGAAAAAAAATACCAGTTCATTGGTGATCAATTTTATCAGTATTGAAATTAAAATTCTGAACGAACTTTCTAATTTGGCAGAGTGAACAGCTAAAAAGACTTTTGCACTAATAAGATATAAAATAATCAAAATTGATCTCATAATCCCTTAAAAACCTGCATGGAATTCAAATACTTTGTCCGATTTAATTTCAACCCAGGAAATGTACATTTTAATTATTTTTTCCTTACACTTTATAACATAAGACTTCCATTCCAACATCTTCTTATCTTTATGCAGATTGGGAAAAAATAAGTCTTAAGCTGATGTAATGCTATTTTTGTGTTTCAATTTTTATTTTTTCGGAGATAAAAGTCCTCAAATTATGTTTTAGCAATGAGGTTTTACTCAGTAAATCAAGTAAACTTTTGAAATGAATGTTCATTTTCCAAAAAAAAGTCCAGTTTTTATGTTAAGATCCAAACATGCATTGTACCCTAAATTGCTTAACATAGTTTTTTTGTTAATCAGTCTTCCTTTAAGATTTGTGAAGAGTTTGTTAGTTACTAGCTGAAGCTTGGTACTCCTGTTCATAAAAGTATATGAAACATGAAGTTTGATGATGGGAGTTTTTAATGACCTTGACTGGCTATAAAGCCCTCGCACGGTCGGTCGGTAAGAAACATGAAGTTAAACTGCACAACTTCTTTAATACAATCAACAAAAGAACAAATTGAAAAGGAAGTCATTACAGGTTTATTCCTTAGACAGAATAACTCTAGGCCAGACAGGAAACTTGTAGCCCCCATTGAAAACATAAAAAAATACTTAAGTAATATAAAACAAATTCAGGACCATTTAAAACAGTTGATTTCATTTAATGATCTCTTTATTATATACAGTTATTGTTGTGGCTTGACTGGTTTCAAAAAGAAAGGTTATGGAATGGAGGTACAGAGGTACATTCCATTGGAAATAAGAGGACATGCTTTCATGGGTTATCCTTAGAAGGAAATCAACTTGAGAGTACATTTTTTAAATTTAGCATTATCATATTTGTTTTATTTTAAATTTTTCATTACCGGTACACATATTTTCAAACTGAAAATTTTGAGGTATCAAATTCTATGGATAAAACCTGGTACATTTGCAAACAATAACAATATTACATTGCAGACAATTAAAACAATTCAATCATACACTTCGTAACTGCAGTATTTCTAGTATAACGAAGAACCATGATAATCAAATTGTGTTCTTTAGAAGGTATTTCTAAAATGTTGCTATTAATTGATAACAGAAAAATCCTTATTTACTATATCTCTGAAAATCCTTATTTACTTGGTTATATGTATGCTTACAGTCAAGGAAAACATGAATCATTTATTAGTTGAAATAAGCCTTCTATAGCTGACTATGCGGTATGGGTTTTGCTCATTGTTGAAGGCATTTGGTGACCTATAGTTGTTAATTTCATGTCATTTGGTATCTGGTGGAGAGTTGTCTCACTTGCAATAATACCACATCTTTTTATTTCTATATTTAAGCTTATTAGCTTTCAGTAACTGTGAGTACTCTTTCATCAGTATTCTTTATCCTTTGGTACTTCTGCTTAAATTCCTTTTGTACACTATGAGTACTGATCTCTGATAAGTCAAGCACTTCCCAATGTATTTTTACAGGTTAGGAAAGGTTGAGGGCTAACACACATGTTTACCCTCTCCACACTTTTTATGTGCTTGTCCCAAGATGGGAGTCTATTATCCAATTACTGCTGTCGGTGCCATAACTTTTTTGTAGAATAAAATAGGTCATTGGTTTATTCTTTTCACTTGTTTCACATTGAAGAGACATTAATTGTCGAAATGTGCATCTGGTGCAATAAAATTGGTACCGTTTATATTATTATTCATCTTTGGGCCTTTTAAAGCTTATTACATTTTGTTTTTATGTTGAGGGCATTTATTCCTTGCTATATCATAGGGTAAGGGTTTTGCTCATTGTTGAGAGCCAAACCTGAAGCTGTTCATCCTTGTCCTTAAATGGTTGCTAATGGATAGTTGTCTATTCGGGAATCATACCACATACATCACCTATTTTGTATTTGTTGTGCAACATACCGGTAATGATTCCCAGTCATTGTTATGTAACTTTTGATTTTAGGTTTTATACCCTATATCCCTTTCTTTTCAATATGAAATAACCAACTAAAAACCTATGAAAAATTAAAACAAGAACAATAGCATTTCAGGCAATGCCATAATGTGCATTGAAGTCATTCCTTACTCTCCTCTGGGACTATTATACTATTAGTATAATACTAGTCCCAGCTCTCCTGTGGTTTTAGTTCACTATAAATCAGTGAAAAAAATTTGAGAAGCCTTCTTAAAAGATAGTATATGACATGAAATTTAATGTTACTGATGAGATGGCCAACATTTTTAAAGGTATAATGTTCCAAGAGTAGGCATGAATCCTTTGCTTCAATTTTCTATTTTTCCCTGATGCAACAAGACAAATATCAGCTTACTCATAAATCTCTCACTTTTCATGACTTATGTCTTCCAATAATAAACTGCAAATTACTGGAGATTTCCTGTCGGTTTTTCATCCCTACTTATTTCATCTCTAAAGGGTATTAAAACTGTTTCTATAGCAACCTGTCATAATCCATTCTAGTGACAAATACGGGAAAAGATGGAAAGCTCATTAGGTCAGAAGAAATCACTTTCACCTTCGGTTGTAACAGCATCAGTTTTTAGTACATAGCAACAAGTAAACAATATTGATTTTAACGAACCGAATAAAATTTTCTTTTCTCTCAATTTTCCTTTTTAGAAATTTTAACTACATGAAACTATGAACCCAGTGTGTGATTAAAGGGAAGTAACTCTGATTTGCCTATATTATTTAAAGAGGTAGTCATGTTATAATCACAGTTATGAAAATACAGACAATCTAAAAAATATTAAGAAAAGGCAATAAAACTGATTAAAAAAAAAGGTCATAAAGTAAGACGTTTGTGCATTTAAAAAATATATAACTTCAATATACTATCACTCAATTAAAAATACAAACCTAACTAACTCAATACATCTTCTTTCTGAAATATTTCGTAAAGTCACGTAATTTTTCATACACAGACCTACCTAAACAATTTTCTAATGTTTAGTTCAAACTATACAATTTCTTTTGCTTGGAAACGCACAAGGAATCCCATGAAAAAAATAGTTAAAATTGAAAATGGAAACAAGGAATGTGTCAAAGAGACAACAACTCAACCAAAGAGCAGAAAACAGCTCAAGGCCACCAATAGGTCTTCAACACAGCGAGAAAATCCTGCACCCAGAGACGGGCTTTAGCTGGCCCCTAAACAAAAATGTGTACTCAGGTTCAGAGAAAATGGACATCACACTAAACTCCGAAAATATAAGTTTGCATATAAATCTGTGGATTAAAATGCGCTTTAGAAAAAAAATTGGTTAATTTTTTTATTATATAGATATAACAAGATGTGGTATGAGTGCCAATGAGACAACTCTCCTTCCAAGTCAAAATTTATAAAAGTAAACCATTATATGTTAAAGTACCGTCTTCAACACGGAGCCTTGGCTCACACCGAATATAAAACAAGAATGTGTCCATAGTACACGGATGCCCCACGAACTGATGAGCTGAAATGCACAGACGGAAAAACATAATGTCCCTAGGTGGGGCATAAAATCTCTTTTCTGCTATTTTTCATGACATATGATGTAAACTTTAAAACATATTTCTTTACTTTGACATTTTGAATTGTTGTCTGTAATACTGTTATTCTAGGACACAGATCTATATTACTAGCATCTAAATATACGTAATTGGCTAGGAAAAGCTAGTATCTAATATTAAAAATATTTTTAGCATGGCCATCGTATTAAGCATGTAATATCCTTAAAGCAATTGATAAATTACAATGTTTTTAAATTTTCCACCAAAAGCCAAAGCTTTCTGTATATTAAAACCAGAAGTCTATCTAATCACAATCCTCTGAATCAATTAAAATATAGTGAATCCTCCTTGGCCACTTGTCACATTTCACCTTTGACTGACAGGAGTGAAATCAAACAAATCATGTGCAATACCATGCCACAGGCGGTAATGGTTTGAACAGCTGGACATGATCTACTGGTTTTACACTGCCCATCAAACATGCCATTTAATATCAATAATTAAAATTTAAGCATGTGACATGTGTCAAAACAGCAATATAATTTTCTGCTCAATTGACTTTACATGCTGTGACAAAATAAATAAACCATAAAACTTTCCTATAGTTTACACTTCCTTAGAACTAAATATTTAACTAGCTGGAAAACCATAAAGTCTTGTATCTCCTTCTGTCTTAATCCTTAATGTCAAATATATGAGATATCAGGAAGTTAACAAACAAATATAAAGAAAATTAACTGAAATTAAATATTTTTTTAGACAAAAATCTATCATGTAGTTAAATAATTTTTTGACAGAAGTCTTTCATACTACTCTGTATGA